ACTATTGCCTTAAAAGAGGTGAGAGTGATTACTTCATGAGTACCAGCTGAGATAATCAACTCACCTGGCCCTGCTCTCACAAGCCTTCCCCACACCTCTCTCTACTGCAGCTGAGTGCAAGTAATTTCCCCCCGGGGATTATTAAAGTATTTAAAGTATTTCTGAAACCACACCCACCTCCACACAAGGCAAGTCTGACATTTGGCAAGATTTCTCAGTTGTTACTGACACAGTAAAATAACATCTTTTCACCTTCGGAACAGGAGAAGAAACAAAATCTCCATTGTGTGGGTGCGAATGGTCAGGATGTTTGCAGATGTGGGCGGGAGTGGAACACACACATTGCAGTAGTGGGCGGTAATGGTCAGAAATCTAGAGGGAGCAGGATTAAGAAAACAGTCCACCGTAGTCTACCGCAGGGCTGTAACACACTGGTTCCCAGTTCTTTGGGGAGGCCAAAGCTTCACACAGGGTCTCGAGGCCTTCTAGATTTTTAGGGGGTGTACTATTTTTTTTTTTTTTAGAAAGGCCTGTTTCTCAGCATTTCATTCATTTAATTGAAAAAACAAATAGTTTTTATTTTGTGTAAAACTTTCTGTACATCTCTGATAACGTTGTATGACCTGATTTAACCTCAATGTGTTTGGACACAACCACTGTTTTGGGAAATACCTAGTCAGGGTGAGTGTGCAGTTTGGCTACTTTGATTATTCATAAAAATGAATGTGGTGGGTTTTTCAATATGCATGTTTTAAAAATAAGCTGCACTTGAAAGTTATTTGGCAGATCATTAACTGACTAGAACAATTACATTTTGCTTCATGCTTCGAAAGTTGCAGGTCATAGTGAACATGTTACCGAGCCACTTTAACTGTTTAATACATGATTATGGACCTGCTGGGATTAATAATTAAAAGGTGGAGACACTCACCTCATTCACTATCTCTCCAAATATTTAAGTTGACAGGAGTGAACCAGAAAAACAAAGAAACCTATTAATCAGATGTTACAAATGATTTAACTCAAGCAGCATAGGCTAATATTGTTCTTTTATGTATTTCAATGTGTATTTTATTTTGTTTAGGTGGGAATTACTTAAATGTAATGGAAATGTAATATTTATGTTACCCAGTAAGTCCCTACTGCACAGTCTTACTGCTGTATGACTATTTATTAATCAGTATTCCAGTATTGGCTACTAGAAATGCAAATTGCAAATTGCAAACCAGTTCCAATTTGATTACTTTATATCTAGACTGGACTGAATAATTACGTACTAATTTGTTTTTGTTTGCCACTCCATGCAACATTGACAATATTCAAATTCTGTCTGCCTCATATCAGTTTGGTTTTGCATACATGCACTCAGTCATGTGTGATATTTAGGGGATAATTTACAGTGAGCTGGTCATGGCAGGATACCTATTACACAGCTACTTACTAGAGAAATCTGTAACTTGTAGAATTACAAAATTGACCAATCCCAAAACCCTGTAACCTTGTTAACCAGTCTGCCATATCAACTTAAAGGGTGATAATGTTTCTGGCCACTGTAGGGCAGTAAAAACAAGTTGTGAACAACATTGACATATCATCATCTTTTAAGTTGATATGCTGAACTTGTTAGCAAACAGCTGCTTATTTAGACATACAGCCATTACAGATTAACATTATCATTGATTTGTAGTCATAATTATTGGCCACCTGGTGAATGTAAGTCTAATATTCAGTCTCTATTAGGAGACTGATTGTAATCAGTCAGTGACTGATGCTTCTCTACACAAAGGTACAGACTTGGCAGACCAACTTTCCACAACTCCATGTCTCATTAAAACTCATCTACCAGTCCAGTTCATACCCAAGTCCTTCTGGGAGCAGAACTGCAGGGTAAAAGCCGTTGAAATATGTGAGTTTTTATTAACCCCACTTAATATGATGCAAATTATAACTGACTGTTTTCTCTTTGTGTAGATAATCTATGTGGCTCGTAACGGAAAAGATAATGCAGTGTCCTATTTCCACTTT